ATCTCGATTACGTCCATCACATTTTTCTTTTTTTTTTTCAATCTTTTTCTATTCACTAATTAAAAAAAAAAAAAAGAAGAAGAATCAAAAGAAAATTATTCCCTCGCGCACAATGTTCGATCATCTCAAGCATGATCGACGACTACGCGACGACGACGAGGCCCGTGATCGAAGACAACGACGACGACAACGGCGGCGGCGGCGACGTGATGGTTCTTTTTGCGCGCAGCCTCGAGTGCCGGTGGCACGAGCGCGCGACAAAGGTGCGCGCGCGCATCGCCGTTTGAAATTCGTGGCGCGGCGCGGATCCTCCTAGGGGGGCTGCGTTCCTTCCTCTCCCGGCTTTCGTTCCACGTCCGTTCGTTCGTTGGGTTCGTTCTCGTTCGCTCTCGCCCGCTTCCGCGCACAAGTCGTCGTCGATGTAAGGCCGCGGCGTGTCGCGCCGCGAGAAAGGGAGTGTCGCCGGCCATCACGACGCCCTCCTCGAACGAACAGACAAACACGACTCGCCTACCTACCCGTCATGCTTCTTCGCCCCATCTTCCTCTTGGCGGCTCTCGTCGAGCGCCGCCGCTTCCATTCGCGAGACCGCGACGCTGTTCCCTGATCGAGGAACACAAACCGCCGAGGGATACGAAATTGGACCGAGAACACGCGCTGTGCTTCGCTCGCCAGGAAACCTCGATAAAGAGAAGAGGGGGAAAAAAAGTGGTGCAACAACGATCGTTGTCTTCTCGATCCTTTTTCTCGATTTTTAACAGTTTTTGAAGAAAGAAACAAGATTATCATCGAAACGTCGGTTGTGAATCAGGGGGGAGGAAGAGTTTGGGATCGCGAGTGAAAGGAGAAGAGGCGTGTATAAAAGTTTTTCTTCTTTCTTTTTCTTTTTCTTTTTCTTTTTTTTCTCGACTCTCGAAATCTTGAGGAAAGGACAAAGTCATCACGAGGATGACGAAACGAAGCGGGGGACGGTAGTTCCTGGCCACTTAGGGATGTCCCCGTGACATGTTACCCCGTGACCTTGGCTGTCGCGACTACAACGTCCTCCGTGGAGAGACTCGCCTCCTCCTGGCGCACGGATCCAGCGAGGATAACGGTCGATCGGTGTCGTTTCATCCACGTGGAGTCGAGTACCGGGTGGTGCCGGTGGTGAAACCCGATTACGCGGTCCCGTATGTTCTCTGCTGGAGGGTGGCCGGCACGACGATCCACAGGATCCAGGTACCGCTTCAGCACCATCATCACCACCACCACCACCACCATCATCATCATCACCACTATCATCATAATCATCACAGGCAACATCATCGGTATCAGCGCCGCCATCGACAGCGTCGCCGCCGACACTTACAGCCTGCAACAACGGTCACGCCTCGAAGACGCCATCCTGCCCCTCCGTTCCTCCAGCCGTCCAACTATCCTCTTCCGTACGCCTCTGGCAGCTCGCACCGCGCCAATCTCGCCACTCTGCCTGGCATGGAAACAAGGTGAGCCTCTCTCCCTTCATTTTGCTCCTTACGTTTATTTACCGCTTTTTCGTTGTCGTCGAAATTCTCCTTTCGACGTGTTTGCTCACCGATCATACGCCACAGCTCCTTTGTTTGTTTTTTTGTTTGCTTTCCGTTTGATTAGAGCTTTGGCGCTTGTGGAGGAGAAATTTGGATCGAAGACGGTTGTGGAACGTCGTTCGCCATTCAGGATTATACAAGGATCGTACGTATTTTGCGTTTTGGTATTTCGAAGGGCAGTGAGATGAGACGGCTTCGTGGAAATGGCACCGTACGAGGTATGGCAGATTCTGCGGGTTATTGGATGGAAGGACGCTTTCCGCGTTGGTTGAACGAAACCGAGAGATAGCAATATCGGGAAATTTTTCACCCGTTTTTCGTCCATTCCGGCGAAAAGAGAAAGATCGATACTCCCGCCGCCGACAGAAGAGCAAAACCGACGAAGGTCGTTTCTGATTGGCTAGGCAGCTGGGTGAAGGCGAGATGCAGTTTCGCAGCCGTGCTCTTTTCTTTTTCTATCCGATCTTCCCTTCTTATTAACCGCTCCTTTCCTCTTCCTCTCTCCCGATCCTTCTTCTGCCAGCTCTTCAATTTTTCTGCTTTCCCGATCAATCTGTCTTCCGTTATTCGAATTCGATCAAAGCGGATTAAATTCGATTATAGAAATTTACACCCTTTGCGCCCTTAATCCCCTGGCCTCTTGGCAGGATCGATGTTAAACAACCCCTTTTGGCGTCTCTCCCTGGTCACACCCTTGTCCATTCGACGGAAACATTTCGTCGTCGCCTTGAAATTCGATACAGGAACAGGTGTCGACGCAATGGCGAAAGAAACGATTAGCACACAATCCTTCGTGATTATTCTTCCCGCGAATCATTTTGCATGATTCGTTCGTCCAATTTCGTTCCTTGGGAATTTCAGTTTAACGAATCATCGTATCATCGATTAAAACGCTATTTCTCTTCGTATCCAAAGGATTACATCTTGAAGAAAGAGTTACTAAAGAGACATAAATTTAACACGTTCTCCTAGATCATTTTTTAATGATCGTAAACTCGACTCGACTCCATCGGGCGTTAAATTTTGCTGGTATTAAAATGGACGAAAGATTTTACAAAATTTCTGGATTATTTATTTGGATTGGTCGTTTCGTTTCGAAGAGTGGGAAATCGGAAAGAGAAAGGCATGAAAATTCGATGCTCCCATGCCGCGATGCTGTTGAACGAGAAAAAGGAAAAAACTAAGTCGACGACGCCTGCTGCGCTCGCCGGCGTCGACAGATTTCTTCGCGTTCGTTCCTCGACCTCCCGCTGCTCCGGACACTGAACCCCGCTCCGGCCAACAGTTTCTTTCCAACCGGACTTGAAAAGTGGAGTGATCCTTTCCCGACTGTCCTTTGCGCCGTTGAGCTGACCGGAATATTAATCGACCCGTTTGTCTCGCCGATCTTGCGCGCGCAAAATCATATTCCCGCTAAACACGTTTCCATTGCGCGAATATCGATGTCGGTCACGCTCTCTCATGCTCGATTTCTTTCTTCTTCTTCTTCTTCTTCTTCGTTAAAGATTTTTCACGCGCCCCCATCATGTTTATTAATAAGCTAATGGTTTTTTTGGCGGTGTTGATGCCTTTGCAATTTCGAACGTCAGGTTTAAATGGCACGAACGGTAGTTTCACTTGAAGTATTTTATAATTAAAGCGTTTTTTTTTTTTTCTAACAATCGATACATCGAAGAATATAAATCGTTCGTTAATTTTATGGAGTGCACGAATATGAATATTTTTGTTTTTAAATAAATGTATATAAATGGAGAAGAAGATATATACGCGGAGAGATTGAGAATTTTAATTTAAAGCGGTATAAGAGAAGTTTATAACGTAAAGAATTCGCGTAAAAAATTTAAGCGGATAAAATTTCTCCACGGTTTGGAAAATCCTGTATCCTCCATCCCGTTAAGGAATGCACGAAGGATTCTTCTCCTTGGAGGAGAGACGGGGAGGGAGACGGAAAAAGCGATGGCGAAGGATTTCGCTGACCGTTCACGGTAAACCATTTCCGGCAGCTGAGCTGGCAACTGGCCTTAAAAGTTCCCCGAAGCTTCGACCTATCAGCGATGCTTTTTTAAGTTTTTACTATCCATCCTGCTCTGGAGGAAAGCATCCCCTTAAAATAAAATCCCGTACTCCCTGTATTTCTCCTATTGTTACCGCGATTCCTGCCTGTCAAAAGCTGTAATGTTTGCCGTCCAAATGGCAAAAATATCCGTCGTCAAAGTATACTTTTGCCTTGTGATCCAACAAATGTGCGGCTGTAATTTTTCGAAGTAGCCAAGAAAGCTCGACAAGCTAGAAACGATACGCAAAATTTGAACGATTCGATGCATCGAAATAGCTATCAAGCAGTTAATACTTCTCTACTAAACATCCTTCGTCCTCCAGCCCGAAGATTCGTTCTCCCCAATCCTTATTGTTCCCCTGTCTGGCCATGGCAAACTCGTTCCACTGTACGCTTAACAGGTCAATTTCCCTCACGATCGTTCGCGCGGAAAAGTCGAAGAAATCCTGTTGACACGAAACCCAATTAAATAATTCGTCTGGCGAAAATTCACAGCGAATTCAGTGAAGACTCGTCATCACAGTTCAACACCGATCAACGATTAAAGATTGTCTTTCCTCTCGAAACGGTTCGAGCATAAGGTGAATGATTAAACAAATAAATGGTGAAACGATCGTTTCGCTGTAATAATGAGTCCACAACGGATTCACCCTCTTCGAACTGTTCGCAACAAGGGTAAACCGGTCTCGATTAAGGGAGAAAGATCGGCGTTTCGCGTCGAGTCGCGATATCGAGCCGCCTGTTCACCCCCCTCTGGCCCCTCGCCGTTTATCCAGATAAAGTGTCGCTCGCTCGAGGAGGGCGATAACGAGCACGTATACGCGTGGGCAAACGTGTACGACACGTAACGTGGTTGGAAGGGATCGATAACGGTGGGCCGCCGCTTTCGTGAACGTTGCAATTTCAACGTCGACCCCTTCTTCTTCCCGGCGCACGAAAGGTGTCCCTGAAAAATTAGAATTTCCTCCGCCCCTCCGCTGGAAAATTACGGAATACCGTGGTGGCCCTCATGAATCTTCACCCGGCTAGTGTGGTGGTAATGGGCCCGGATTGCTTAGATAAAAATAGATAAAAAAGTGTATCTAATCGAGGCGAACCTCTTCGTAAATCACCGCTTCTCTCGTTCTTTTGCAAACGAATCCACTCTTGGTTAATAATAAAATTTGTTCGAGTTCGCTTTTCGCGCGTTTCTGATCATTCGTTGTTTTCGAAAGAGGCGACGATAGGATGGCGTAGCGAAGAGACGAGTAGAAGAAGTATTTTTGAATCGAAGAAGATATTGCAGAATTGGAATTAGAATGGAACGAAACGATGTTATCGATGTGATTGGAAAAGATAGAAATAATATCGTAATACGCGTTCCAACTACGTTACGTTTTACGTTTTATTTACGGGCTCGTTGTCATCGGTGTAACGATAACGGCTGTGCAATTACGCTAATTGCGACGTTAAAAGATGTTCTTTTTTTTTTTTTTTTTTTTTTTTTAACGTCAAGATTCACGCGTTTCGTAATCGCGTGCCATTAATAAACGCGCGTGACTCGTGATCGGGATTCTTTGCACGCAAATTTCTTTCACTCGACATTTCTTATTGGCGTTTATTATGTCGTAATTAGAAATTCATCGAAAGGTTATGCAAGATAAATGATCTTCCAATTCCCTCACTCTCGCCAACAGTGAGCGGAAAAGAGAATGGTTAGCGTGCCCCAAAGGAATTATACTCATTTTAAAAATGTCACTTGTACGCACTTGTTGGCAATGAGACGATTGGAACGAAGTTTATCGAAAGAAACGCTGATTCCTCCTTGAGAGAGAGAGCGTTCGTTTTCTGCCTCGTTGGTTCTGCTGGACCAATGTTGCCGCTAGTAGTAGCTTTTTCGAGACGAACCGAAAGAAGGAAAGAAGATTCTCCTCCGATTCCATTTAGAAATTCGAATCGTCGAAAGAGACCATTCCTCGAGTCGTTTTGGCACGAGGAAAAGGACCTGTTCCACTTCTCTGAAGTTCGCGGATGATCGGGTACTCGTGTACCGTGAAAACGAAGTTAGAGTTCTTCTCACTCGTGTGAGAAGAAGCGTGCCACGTATGCGTTATAAATAGAATTTCGAAATTGGAAAATTGGAATATTTGAAAGGAAAACATTGAATTTCGTTCTGAATCGAATCAAACTTCTTACTCGTTGTATACAAAAAAAATTCCATTCGGGGAATTTATTATCTTCTATCGTCAACTCCAACATTGATTCGTGAAGATGCGCGTTCTCCGTTTCTTCTTCCAAATAACAATCGAATTCAAATAGAAATATCTTATCACGAGGATAAATTTTAAACTTGTACAAAAAAAAAAAGATAAGTTAATCTCGTTCCCCCTTTATCGCTTATCATTTCTCCCTTTTCATCAACATTTTCATCGAATGAATTCTTGCCTCAACGACAATTTCCAAACAAACCGCGATGCATCCCGTCCGCATCCACCGCAGATTCCACTCACGGATAAAACGTAAAATATTACAGAAACGATGGTGGCAGCGTGAGAATGATGCCGCCGATATCCGCGCTCAAAAGTAGCGAGCGACCACATCGAGGATTCCTATAAATTGCTCTCAGGTGTGTTGTTGTTTCCCCCTTCCTTTCCTCCTCCTCCTCCTCCTCCCTCCCTTCGCGCCTCTTATCGACTTGGAAACAACAACAACAACAACAACAACAACAAGTGGACGGCGGCGATAGAGCGAGATGGATGGATGGATGGAACGCCGTTCGTTCGTTCCACGGTTCCGATCATTGTCGAGCGGCGAAAGGTTGCCGCTCGTCCGTGTCATTACGTTTTATCACTGGCATCCGTGACGTCACCGAGTTATTTTCGAT